CAACTGCAGAAGAGTAATTTAGGCAGAAAATCTGACAAAGAACACATAACACTAGTATTTTAAACCAATCCTATTTCTCTGTGAGCCAGTCTTTGCCTTGTAGTAAATGAGACCAAAATTTCCATGAGCTGAAACCAACAAGAAATAAGTATCTGAACTGCATTGTCATTCAAGTGTTTATTAAAATACAGACTTAGCAAGTACAGGAGTAATTCTTATCAATTTACCTACAGAAATTGATCTAAAGGTATGATGATAAAAGCAATTTTGCAACACATTCTTCCCTCAGTGAATTTAATGAATAAAAATATCAACTTTCATGTACATAAACTCAGCATTGCATTTTCATTTTTGAATAGTAGTGTTTTTTATTTCTTCATTTAAGTTCCTGTGGATCTTTCTTTTCATAGAAGATGTGGCATTTTGGCAGAAGTTTTAAAATACTGGGAATCTGAAGAGTGAAGGGAAATGCTTCAGCTGTGCCTGAAGAGATAGGATGACTGTATGTGAAAAGTCACCATACACGTCTCCAGAGTGCTGTCAGCTCTAAACTAAGACACAGGATTCAAGTTTTTGAGCCATCCTATGGAGGCTGAATGAAATTGGTTCCAAAATTATAACAGTGTATCATAAACAGAAATTAAAAGAGCAGTGAGAAGAATGAAATTATCTTTCTGGCTCTTTTTATACTGCATCAGAAATCACCGACCAGAATTTTCACAGGTATGCAACTCTTAAGGTTGAGATCCTGTTCCTCCAGATCCCTTATCTAAATTGTTACATCTATTTCACCCTTGTCAGTGATCCAGTCACTCTGCTTTCCAGGATTTTCTGCCCTAAACAAGCCAAAATTCATTAGGCAATTAACTCCCTGTTTGGTCTGTAATTTCCCTGGACACCCACTGTCACTGTTCATAGAGACAGAGCAGACCCTATGGAATTGGGTCTATTTCTTTAGTCACTGCAATCAGGGTTTCACTCAAGTCTAAAAACCAACTGAAGCCTGTGGCTCATGAGCTGCATGGCTGGAGTCAGCAAGGGACACTTCTCTGTCCTTTCTCTTCTCCCTCAACTCTGAACTCCTCTTGCCACACAAATCCACGTCTCCTGTCCAGAGACATGAGCATGTCTTCTTTAGCCCCCTTCTTAGGAGAGATGCAACTTCTTTTCCCTTGTGTCTGCCCATCCCTTCTTTCGCCCATTCAGAAAGCACTTTTGAAGACAGGGAGATCATCTACAAACTAGAGTGCCCATGATTCAGAACAAGGCATTGGAAAAAAAGGGGAACTGAGAGTGACTTGGTACTTACAGATATGAGAAAGGAGCCTTCAACATCTTCCCAAGCATGCCACTGCACGTACTACATCAGCAGGTTTATTTTGAACCTGAAAACACCCTGTTTCTAATTTCAATACAATCAGACACTAGCTGTCTCTAAGATCATTCTGAATGTACAGTGAATGCATTTAAGTAGTGTTATCATGGGAGAAAGAAGGAACAGGTATGGAAGGCTGCATTTTTCAAGGAAACTGGGCTTGTAAGAGAAAGAGCTTATTTGCCATGTAGTCTGTGGTATTCAGTCAGGGACGAATAAGGTAAATCTAGAATATTGTTGGACATCCTTCCACTGGAAACAGCTATTGATGAGGAAGTGGAAGTAAAATTTGACAGCTCAGCAGTTTGCATTTAACAGGCAGAATAAAGAAGTAGTACTGTTATGTAGTGATGGCAGAGAAAATGCTCAAGTCTAAATCTGGTGGTGATTTTTAAAGCACTTTTTCCAAGTGTTAGCAAATACTTTTGTGTCTTGAGATGTAATGCTGAGACTGCAAATCTATTAGACAAGGTTATTTTCAACTTCTTGTATGGCTGTATGCATTTGGAAGTATGTTTGTGAAGAAAGGAGGGGCATTAAAACACGAGATGGAGGTTTTAGGCACTGAGATCACTTGCTCTACAACAGATACTTTTGGTATATGGCTTCTAGCTCTTCTCTGGAGATCTTAAAATGATAAAGGGGTTGCTGCATTGAAGCATGATTTACCTCAGGGGAAGCTGTTAAATGAATCGAAAGCAGTAATAGAGTTATTTTACCTAAAATTAAGTACCCAGAAGATTCAGCCCCTTTGGGATATAAACAGAAGTGCTCAGTCAGAACACTGTTAAGTTTGATTGCATGGACTGACTCTGTACCTAGCAAAGAAAATCTCAGCACAGCCTGAAGGAAGATTATAATGACACAGTACTATACATTATATATATTATCAAAAGTTGAACGTTTAGTAATCACCAATACAAAGAGACTGAAAGTCAAATCCTGATCTACTTACCTGGGGCAGAATTGAAAGTGTGCTTGCTCAGCAACACGGACACAATGGAGCCACACTTTGAACTCAAGGAGCAGCGAGGGAGACCTGGATGTCTGCAAGTGTTTGGCTGACCTTTCTTCATGGTTAATATTGCACAGAGTTTGTTAGGCTGTCTGCTAGGAAAAAAATATATTGGCTCAGAGGAGTCGGTAATTGTGTTGTCCTACAACATGAAAACAAGCTTTCTAAGAAAAAAAACCAAAACCAACACATGGAACTGGAGGCTACACTGCACATTTTCTGTCATTTACATGCACACAAAATAAAGGATAAAATTTTCATCTGGCAAACATTCAAGTAAAGTGACAGCTGAAGTGATAGCTTTGTGCAACCAGTTTATGGTGAGATTTTTGTCCCACAAAAATGGGCTTTTGGCTTCGGGAGTACAGTCCACTGTATCCTAGTTTTTGGGTAGCGTAGTCTTCTTCAGAAGTTGTCTAGACTGACTTAGAGTAACACCATGAGGCTACTTTTTTTCCTTGACTGTTGAGAGGCTCTGGAAGAAAGGAGCTCCCTAGTGAAGGAGCTTTAGTTCAGTGTCTACTTATTGGTGCTGCCCAAGTACAAATAGGTTTGATCTAGGTTTTGGTTAATAATTAGCACATGAAAAAAGAATGCACCATGATGTATTTCAAAATCTCTTGTGTCCCTATATACTCAATGATGTTTTTTCCTTTAAATATTAGCAATAGACTTACGTGTTTTAGGTGGTGTTGTTTCTGAGACATGCCTGAGACATTCCAATTTTTAAAATACTTTGTCAGCAAGATCCAGTGAAGACATTATGCTTCCCTTGAAATCATATCTACAGCTGAATGGAAGCCTGGCTCTCCACTCCTTGCACAGGGACAATTGCAGCAATGCCCCAGTGCACTTAACAACTTATCTCCAGTTTCTACAAGTAACTAGCAGGTGATGCCAACACCTTTTTCTGTTGTTGAATCTGAAGTTGTCATTTACTCAGACTGTAATGAATTTCAGCACCTTCTCAGACTGTATCCCAAACTCACTCCTGGAATGTTCAGCTTTGGTTCTGGGCCTCTCACCTCCTCTTCCTGCCCTACAGACTTCCTCCTTTAGGGAAGGGCTGTCAATGGTCCACTGCACTGTTCAGATCTGCATCTTCCTAATATGGCAATTAATTAATTGCCACAGTGGAATACTTACTCCAGTCCTGTCCCCTACATCTTTGGTCTCTTTAAAAACAGCACAAATCAATCCCCAAAACTGATCTGGATCAGTGCAGAAAACGTGGAAGTTGGAAGTTCTAGAAAGGAGCATGGCAAATGCCCTGCCTGTATTTGGGAGAGGTGAGAGCCCATCCTGTGTACAAAAGAAGACCTTCATTAGTTCACAACTGGCATTTAAATCCATTGACTCATTATTAGTGATTATCTGCAATTTTCCCCTGAGGGTGTTTATTTTCTAAAAATAAAAAGGAATTATCTAAAGGCCTTCATTCTGTAGTTAAACACCAACCTTATCTCCTGGGAACATCTCTCTGTGCCTAACAGCCTGTCTAGTAGATGTATTTTATTCTTAGGTGTCCCAAATCACACCACTGATTACCAAGTTCTGCAATATGTTGGGCTGTTTCTTCCTTCGCAGTCTTGGTTGAATTATTCGGTCCAAAGGCGATGCAAAGGGCAGTTTGAGACTGCCTTTAAAGAGCAGTCTATGCTCACGCCTGCTCAGTTGGTTACAAAATGTAACTCAGTAATCAAACTTAGCTCGCTTTGTTTCCTCTCTGTAAAGATCCATGAGGCATTTCTAACTGGAACTCGTTTTCTGTGCAGCAAGCAACCAAATATACCAACCTCCTACTCTGGGAAAGAAAAGTGTTGTTACTGAGAGGTGACAGCCCATGAATTCCCGGGGAGCGGGTGAGGAAGGGTGAGTGTATGATGTCCTTGGACAGTGAGTTTCTCTGCAACTGCTGCTACATGAGAGAATGCAGGTGCGATGTGTCTTCCTAAGGTACCACGACGGAAACACTGAGTGAAGGGAAAAGCGGTTTTATTTCTTCGCCTGTCCGCACCCCTCCAGCCCCCGCCCCGCGATCGCTCCCCCTTCTCGGTGCGGCGCTGCCCCACGGACTCCCCGACGGCGGCACTGCAGCGGGACACCGGAGGGTGCCACGCTCAGCCCCTCGGAGGGGACGGATCCGGCCATCGAGGGCTCTTCCGATGGGAGGAAAGGCAGCAGGGCAGCGGCGAGGGTCCCGCCTCCGAGGGGGCACCGGAGCTGCAGCGAGGTACGGCGCCCGGCGGGGCGGGCGAAGGACTGCGGCACCCCGCCTGCCGCCCGCGGACCGGGATCTCCGCCTTTGAGGGGCCGTGGGGGTACCCACGGGCACCCTGAGGGGGCAAGACGGTCTACCTCTCCTGGAGGAGCCCACGCCCCGCTTCCCCCCCTCTCCTCCCCGCCCGCCCCGTCTCACGTCCTGGCTCCCGCCCCCGGCGGCAGCTCTCCCCGATGGAGCCGGCTGGGAAGGATGCAGGCGGCAGCTCCGAGGTAATTATTAATGGCCGTGCCCACCGGGGCGGGAGTAGGGGGGGCACGAGGTGAGATAAAATGGGGCGGCGGGGAGCTGGGAGGCGGGGGTTGTCGTCGCGGAGCCCCGCCGGGAGCATGGCCCTCGCCGCGTCGCTGCTGCCACCGCTGCTGCTGCTGCTGTTGGGGCGGCCGGGGCTGGGAGGGCCGGGACAGGGCGCGGGCACCTGGTCCCGCTTCGCCCGGCTGCCCTACCCGCAGGACCAGCTCTTCCTCCACGACACCTTCCCCGACGGCTTCCTCTGGGGCGCGGGCAGCGCCGCCTACCAGACGGAGGGCGGCTGGCGCCAGGGCGGCAAGGGCGCGTCCGTCTGGGACACCTTCGCCCACCGCCCGGCCACACCGCCGGCGGCCGCCCCGCCGGGGCCCGTGGGCGGCGACGTGGCCAGCGACAGCTACAACAACGTGTTCCGCGACGTCGAGGGGCTGCGGCGCCTGGGGGTCTCGCACTACCGCTTCTCGCTGTCCTGGGCCCGGCTGCTGCCCAACGGGACCGCGCCGCCCAACCCCGCCGGACTGGCGCACTACGGGCGGCTGCTGGCCCGCCTGCGGGAGCTGGGCGTCGAGCCCGTCGTCACCCTCTACCACTGGGACCTGCCGCAGGCCCTGCAGGACGCCTTCGGCGGCTGGGCCAGCCCCGTCCTGCCCCGGCTCTTCCGCGACTACGCCGAGCTGTGCTTCCGGCACTTCGGCGGGCAGGTGCGCTACTGGCTGACCATGGACAACCCCTACGTGGTGGCCTGGCACGGCTACGGCACGGGGCGGCTGCCGCCCGGCGTGCGGGGAGGCCCCCGCCTGGGCTACCTGGCGGCCCACCACCTGCTCCAGGTAAATGGCGGCTGGCGCCAAGGGGCCCGGCGGCTCCTGGGCCGTGCCAGGGTGCCGGGTGTGCAGGCCACCCTCAGCCCGCCCCACCGGCACACCTGTGCCCTGCTCCGACACTGGCGTGGAAAACAAACCCGCGTGCCCCACAGAGTGCGGGCAGCAGGTCTGTGGGCAAAGGAGGCAACACTCATGGTGTAAGGCGACTGAGCTGGTGGAGAGGTGGAGAGTTAAAGAACTCTCGGTGTCTTGCAGTGCTTCTGGGTGGGGGAAGGTCTGCAGTCCCTGGACTGTGCCAGTCCAGTTCTGCCTTTCTAAGGTGGAAGTTCTTAATGTGACTGTAGAGGGAATTTGCGTATTTGATAAAAAAGGCTTACTGAGTTAATGGAGATGCTAGAGGTGGCCAAAATGTCGTGCGGAGACATTTTCTTGACAAAGCATGATGGTTTTTTGAGCGGGCACTTTTTGGGAGAATAGATCCTTAATTCCCCGGTTAGTCTTGTAAGTGGCACAAGTAGTTTGCTATACGTAAGTTTTATTCTGTGTATTTATATGGTGTAATTGTAGTATTTGCTGGGAGCAACCCGTGAGTATTTTCAGAGAAAATTAAGCAGAAGTGTGTACAAATCCTTCCAATGACAGGAAAAAGGATTCAACCTGTCTAGAATGGGGTGGTTATTTAGGCATGATCTCTTGTATTTTAATATACATTCACAAATTCTGCTAATGTCTGTCTGCTCAACACACACTTCCTGGCAGGAGTTGTATCCTAATGAGCATTGTGTATTAGATGTGAGTATGAAGAAAACATCCAATGCATATTTGACTTTTTTCCACTTTCCTGTATTACTTCTGCATTCTTGAATGCTACAAGTAAGTCAAAGGGAAAATAGAGATGGAGAAAATGTGGGTAAAATTTCAGGTTATTTTCCTCATCCTGAAAACTTTAAGCTCTTCATGTAGTTACCATGGTGTGTACTTGGCCATATTTCATGCTTGAGTATATCTGCATCACCATAGTATCAGAGTCCCTCATAATGTCAAGCACGTTCTCATAAAAGCTCTGTGAAGGAAGATACTTTTCTATTTAATAAATGAGAAACAGAGGCACAGTCTTGCCCACACCATGTCAAAAGTGTAATTAAACCCAGGAAGGCCTACCAATGCTTGCTTTAGTGACAGAACCGTAGTATTTAGTTCTGTCCCAGTGACTGTCAGTCAGGATTTGCACATCAGTGAACATTTCTTTTTACATGCAGTGGAAGGCAGCAAGGTACCACTTTTGCCCCCCACATTTTATGGAAAAGGAACTGAAACACAGATGCAGTTAAGAGCCAAAGTGGCCACTGGTTGCTAGTGCCCTTTTCCTGGTGTGTGATCGTTGTAGCATATTTGTCAGTTACAATATACTTCCAGCTCTTCTACAAGTCGTATCCCCACATCTCAAATCACCTGCAGAGAAAATCAGGGACGTGCATTGTGTGCAGAGGAGCTTACATCCCTGACTTCTCCAGGAAAGAGTCTTCGTAGAGGCAGAGGTAGAACCTAGCACTTCAGTACAGAGAAGTGAACAGCTTTAGCCTGAGCTCCTCCTTCTTCTTTTTACTTCTGTGTAGCACATTAATATTAGACCTTTCAACTTGTGCAAGCAATGATGCAGGAGGAAGCTACATAGTACAGCTTCTTCACAGCCTGCTATCCATAGAGAAAGTGTGTGCATTTGTGTAAGAAAGGATTAAAGTTCTACCATAGATGATCAAGAGAGAATTACATTTCATGCATAAATTAAATTGTTTGACAGAGTTCTTGAGTGATTGACTTTGCAACTTGAATGTTGTTCTTTAATGTGTGTCTGTGGCTTGTTTAGTTTCATAGGTGAGTTTGGTCATTTTTTAGGAGCATGCACGGCTTTGGTTTGTATCAGAAGGGTGCACAGATGTGCTGCTTTATCACATGAGCTGCAGGATGTGTGCAGCACTGGACAGTGTTGCTGGGAGGATACAGTCCTCTTAGACCCACTGCAAAAGATGTGGCTGAATCCTCTCACCGGAAGAAAACCCCCTTTCATTGTCTAACCTTTTGCTCCTTATGTTCTAAGATCTGGTCCCTGGTTTCTTCTTAATCTTTTTCCCTTCTCTTTGTCATTCTTGTTTTTTATTTTTTTTCCAAGGAAATTGAGTTTGCAGAACATGTTTGGGTTGTTTTTTTTTTGAAGTTAGAATTTGTTGTCATAATTGTTTGTTTCTCAGCAAATATGCAGACTAGCTCTTAATACGCATGATTTCTGATTCCCCCCTTATTTACAATATCCAGTTTTAAATGTCTTCTCTCTGCATTTATTCAAATCAAAGACTCGCATAAGTGGAAAGCTACAGCTAATGAAAGCTGATGCCTCCTCATTTATTTTACTGGATGCTAATTATGTTGAAAAGCAAAATAATTTCCTTTAAGTTCTTTAAAATTCAAAAAATATAAATGTGAATTTGGAGCTTTGGTTTTTTGAGCGACTTATTTATTATCTGAAGAAATAATCAAATAAGAGTTTGATTCAATTTAGCTTGTTCAATTCAGAGCTGGTGAAAACAGGGCAATGAAGTTTGATTTAAGTAATGCTGTTTGAATTCAGCTTGAATGGATTTCATCATATTGTACTGAATTTTTTAATTACCTCTCATTTTTATGAACTTCCTTAAGTGAGTCGTAACAGATGCTAAATTGACAGAGACACTTTTTTTATAGGTAGGACCAAATAAAAATAGTGTAAAAAAACTTGTAAGGAAAAATGATTTTATTAATGTATCCTTGGTGTGTTCTTGAGAGATGTTCATCAGTATTCAGTGAAAGTTTCACCCTTTTATAGTATTTCCACTGACACTTGTCGCTTTTGATATGTCTGAACCCTTCAAATGTGGTAAGAAATGGAGGAAGCTGTTCATGTTTATTCACAAAATAAATGGAATGGATCAAGTATATTTCATAAAAGTTGGCATTCTCTCAAGTCAACAGCCAGAAAATTTAATGCCAGCAATCTGTCATATATATATGATGCATCTTTTTTCTCCAAATAGGAGTTGAGAGAGGTCAGTGTATTATGTTCTGGTTTTTGCAAATGCGTTTTTTCATTAATGGTTCACAGTATGTTGTCTGAGTTGAACATACTTGGATTTACTCATTATAAACAGCATTTGCAGAAACAGAAGAACACGTCGTTTCCCTGAAGAAGTGAGTGGAACTGCTGCCTGGAAACCAGTCACATAGCAACAGACTGATTTCTATTCCAAAACTCTTTCCAAAACAGAAGGTAAGTACTCTTTCATTGACCTTCAGTGCTAAACCTAATAAAGTATCAGTAGTTTCAGCATAGGAGAGTGGTCTTTTCTTGGCGTGTATTGTTTCTTTCAAAATTGAGACAGCCCTCAAACTTTCACTCAGTGCAAATGGAATGATTTGGGATTTTCCTGAAAGTAACATAGCTATCATACTTGTGAAGGCATACCTAATTTTTAGAAAAAGGGAAGAATACTGCTAAGTAATAGTGTTTATTTTTTTTCCTATTCTTGCTTTCTTAAAGCATAATTAAAAGAAGAACCAAGAAGAAATTGATTCTTACCTGGGTTTGAGTATTAGTTGGGTGGCATATGTTTACACTAGTGATTATTCTATTCATTAATCATTTGAATCAGGTTTCTTTCAAATACCAGATTTGACAAAGAGGTGCAGTCAAACCATGGTGTAAGTTCAGGTCTGATGTGGCAGTTTTCTGTGCCAGTAGCTGCCAAAAGTCAGGCTATTATCACAAATTATATTAAAAGCTATAGTGAGTTGTTTTTACGCTTTAATCATGAAAAGAAAAAAAATGCATTGAGTTTAATTTTAAAATTTGATAAACAGAGGAGTTTGAGTTTCAAGAATACTTGTTTTATTAAAATGAGCTCCAAAGATAGATGACATAATTTTCCTTTTGCCATTCCTACCTGATTCCCTACACGTTTGTGAAAGGATTGCTCTTTTCAAGTATTCCATTGTAACAAAAAAGCAGTTTGTTACCTTTACAGACTACTTTGATTTTTACTCATAGAAATACCAGGACTTCATGGAGAATAAAGTGTTGCCATGGAAGAGTGGATCTCCCTCAAGTGTGAGGTTTCCATAACTTGAAAAGCTTTTTAGAGATTATAGTAAATCTTTGCAAAACTCAGCAGGCAGGACCAGGAAAGACCACACTGAAGTGACTGAAATGGAATGGAAGCAGAATTTGTTTGTTCTCTGTGTGGAAGAAAACCAGGTCAATCCTGTAGGTATGTTAAGTCCCACCTCAGCTCTTTTGCAGTTCGTTATGAGGATGGGATTTCTTGAGAGTCTATTCATTTTGAGGTTTTGAGTGCTTGGTAGTTGTGGCTGTACAGCTGTGAATCTTGGTAAATTCTATTGACAGCCCTAAATCTGTGTTTTCATGTCTCATTTTAAGTGCCACCTGCCTGATTTCTAATCATCGTTGTAGCTTTTGCTGGAGGCACCTAGGTAATAGTTCTGGTTCTGTCCAAGGTAGTCTGGTATGCTTCGTTTTTAGATAGAAGTTGTTCATGTTGGGCAGGGCTCTGCTCAGTGCTGGGAAGAGAATGACTACTGGTTAACAGCAGTTGGATGCAGATTAGGGCGTTTAGATTGGCAACATAGAATTCACATCTGGTAAAATCTCACTGGGTACATGACTGTAAAGCTCCTTGATACTGTTCAATTTTGCATAATAAAGCCTCATAAGGTGTGAGATATTCTTTGTTCTTCCCTTCAACCTCTCTCCCAAGCAGAAGAGATTCTGTATTTGTTGTAGTTTTGGGGATTCCAAAATGAAGCGTGTGGTAGAACTCATGTCACTGTGTATTCCTTTGTATTACAAACTTTTCCAGTTTCCATTCACCTTCTTACTATATATAATTCCTAGGTGTAATTGGGACCTGGGAAATAAATCTAGTGAAACATCTGTTGTAGTTTAAGATAGTTCACTAGTTTTTAGTGCCTGCATTTCCTTTTTGGCTGAAAGCTAGGAGCTCTTAAGAGCTTTTTCCATTATAGGTCCAGTAGACACCTCTGTTGTGCAACCATCAGCAGTTGGAAAGTGCAGAGATTGTCCTTCCTTTTGAAAATGTTGTCTTCTGTAAAGAAGAAATGCTCTATCATGTGAGAGTAGGTTGTTTCACTCATAATATACCCATCTTCTAGAAGGTCAAATTGATTTCTCTTGCTTTGGTTGAAATTGCACTTACCTTAGGTTTGTTCCTCACACTTATTAACTCTTTCTTAATAGCATCTTCTTCCCAACGTGCTCTGGGAAACAAAATATTTTTCCCTTCCTCTTTCATTATTTTTTCAACTAGTTATAAGCAGTGAGTATGTCAATACAGCTGGTGGCAATGTTGGCAAGCAGTGACCATTAGGACAGGATGTAGGCATTTAGAAGCATTTCATTTTAATGATTTTGGTTACCGTGATGCATATCCTTCTTACTGTGGGAGAAACAGGAAAGAGCAGATGTGTACGTAGACACATCTGTAGTTCACTTAACTCCAGTTGAAGAGTCTTGTGGCTTTCAATTAGTAATTGGCAGAGTTCAAAGGCAGTTTGTTAATCCCCACAAATGAGTATGATTTGTGTGTTGGGTTGTTGCTGATGAACAGATGAAATGCTGAACTTAATCTGAAGGTGCAGGGCCAATGTTGGCAAAGTTTTTAAAAAGCCAAGAAGCCAGCAATCAAAGGAGTCTGCTTGTACAGACTTCTAGGTAAAGAAATGTACCCAGGAGAATTTATTCTATTTTTTAAAATTCCAATATGGTAAAAATAAAGAAGAGGAAATTACAAAGACATGCTTCTGAAGAAGTAGAGCGGGTGACCTGCACATACAATGATGAGACATGGTTGGATGGGGCTTTGGGCAGCCTGGTCTAGTGTAAGGTGTCCCTCCTGCCCACGGCAGTAGGGTTGGAACTAGGGGCTTTTAAAGGCCCTTCCAACCCAAGATATTCTGTGATTCTATGGCAGGTTTTAGCAATTAAAGAATGTGTTACCACTTTTAAATATTAAATAAAAACTCATGCTTGCATATTTGCCTGCTGAAGTATATAGAAAAATATCACAGTCAAAACTGTGCATGTTGATTTTAGATTAAATCAGAAGAATGGAACTGAAGAATATGGTTGTAGACAAAATTCTCAGGATCCTTAGGAAATTAATGAAATGAAGATTGGACAGATCTCTGAAAGAGAAGGTGACTCATTGAATATGACCATGAAAGAAGAGACTGGCTTCTGGAGAAGAGCTGAATTACTTCACATGAGAGAAAATGGGTCAGCAGAAGGAGATGAGTTGTCAAGAAGGAAGAATAACAAAGTACAAAAGGAGAAATGGATAATTGGCAGAGACTGGAGCCTTTGGAAAAATGGCATGAGTAGAAGATGAATGATACCAAAGAAGGGAAGGAATTAGACTCCCATTGTTGCTTTCTGTAAGTACTCCTGAACATAAATATCAATGACAGGAATAAAATTCAGAATTAAAAGACCATATACATACACACACAAAAGGATATAAATACAGTTAGATTGACTCTTAGAAGTCATGGATAGCTTTGGAAGAAAGAGCTGCTGGAATGGCCTTTCAGTATTAATGGTAGGAACAAAAATCTTTTAAGACAGCTAGAGCAGTTTGGGAAACTAGACTTGATGCATTTAGTGGCAGTGGAGGTTACTGTAGAATGTGAAATCTTCCTGTTTGCTTTGCAAAATTCTTTACAGTGATATAAAGCATGGTCTAAATCTGAGAACATCATTCATGAAAAAAACAAAATGCAATCTATATTAACAGTAAACAGTTTGTTTAGTCTATCAGTGATGACATCTTCTGGCTTGCTGTAGCTTCAGCTCTTATCTGAGAGCACAAAACACTCATAAGAGGCCTGGCCTGTTAAGTTTGTGGTGTGTCTCCCTGGAGATTTTTCTGGGAGGGTCCTTTGAGATGCACAGTGGAGTAAGAAAAAGGACTTTAAAAATATCTAGATTTGGCTACATTGAAGCCCATTTATGTTGCTCTATCTTTATGTATATTTAGTTTGAGAAGAGAGAGACTTCTGTATTACGAAGAATAGCAAAAGTTTAAAGCTTAGTTTTGTTTTGATTCTGAAAAAATCCCCAACCCGTATTCTAAATTCTCCCAGTTACTGAAATCTTTACAGATGCTGTTTACAACGGTTGATATAGGAACTGAGGGACTGAGGCCACAGGTGGTTCCAGTGACACCTGACGGCAGGATCTCTGTGACATCTGCATGATGGAAAGCACGAGGGCTTTTCCCATCTCAGGATCTGGCCAGCCTGGGGGGCTGAAAGACCAGGCAGTGCTGCAAGACACTCTGCAACACATTCTTCAATGATGGAGGGAGGGAGCTGACAGGGGGCCATGCACATTGCCAGGGGACTGTCACTTCAGTCTGCACATGATCAGTTTGTTACCTGCACATTAGCTCTCATACTGACAGCTGAGATCTGACTTTTGTTTTCAGTCACAACTCCAAAGACAGCTGAATGGTTCAAAACTGGCTGGGAGAGACTATCCTATGGAAATGCCTTTCAATTTTGTGAGTCCAAAAGTCAACCCAGGAATCCTTTTCTAGGTTGATCAGTTTAATGCTCTTACTAAGGGCTAGAAAATGTTTGTACCACTGAGATTATGTTTTACAAGATTTTTCTTTACAGTTGGGAAGACAGTAGCGTCTGTTTTGATCCTGCTCCTAGAAAAGACTTCAAATGGTCAGGTGGGGAAAGGGGACAGACCTTTAGCGGCTGGTCACACACTCTGGTAAGAGTTCACAGTGATTTTCCAGTGCCTTTTCTCAGTCAGCTTTTTTCTTGTTCTGTTGAATATGTAGTAGCTCCACTGGTTCAGTTGTTTTTCAGAGCTGAGGGCAAAGTTTACTCAGTTTGTTTGTTTAACTTCCAGAGTTTTAAGAAATGAAATAATTTTTTTGCTGCAGGTGTGGAACTGTTGAACATAGTTATTGATTAATGATTCTAATTATGGTTCCTTAGACATGTATGGAAATGGTAGAATTATGCAGCATATCTTTTCTTTTGAGAAAGTAGGTTGGAAAAATACTGCATTGTCAGCTCAGTGATTTTATTTTTGGAAAAGTTTTTTTTGTAAGTAATAACATATTGCTTAAAAATCAATTGAACAAATCTGACCTCATGGTTGAAAAGAAAGTTCAGCTGACACCTTGCTGTACAGTGATGACATGCTCTTTATAACACACTTACTTAATTCCTCATTTATTTTCCTCTCATAATACTGTGTTAACTTGGGTACAAATGATGCTTGCAGAGAGAGCAACCACCACACCAGAATGTTCATGACCAGTTATGTACCCCCTCAGGAGGCAAAATCCAGGCCAAAAAGAGTTGTAACAAAACACAAGAAGGAGGAGTATTGGGAAAACAGATAATGCATGAGGATCTGGTGAGATGGGGGTGACTGGCCAAGACTGGGAATGCAGGAGCTGGGTTTATGAGACAATACTCCATTTTTGTGTGTGTATTTAGCATTAAAAATTAAACCCAGCATGAAATTAGATGCCTGGAGTCCTCAAGGATGGGGTGTTTGTTCCCTGTTTCAATTTTTTAATAAATGTCATATGAATTATTTTGAGGAAGCTGACTGGTGGTTTACAGAAATCACAGACCATGATTCACGAGGATGGGGCCTGCTTCAAAGTCTGTCTTGGCTTATGGTGCCCACTTGCTGTCCCCACGTTGCCACCAGCCCTGGGAGTGGGGGACACCGTGAGTAGCCTGCTAAAGAAATCAGGGATGATATATTATGTCTGGGTTTCTCAAAGGAGCTTAAGGAAAATAAGTGAAAATTGATTTTCCCTTTAGCTTTTTGGGGAACCCTGTCACTTTCAAGCAGTTAAGTAAATTAGCAAATTGAACAGATTCCTCTTATTCCTCTTATTCCTCTTATCTCGAGGAAAATGTGCATTCCCATATTCAAACAGCATCTCTGCGTATGAAATGCAAGACCTTGGAAATACACTGAAGGAGCTCTTGAACTCAGTTTATCATCCTACTTCCCTTGCCAGCTATGAACACGTCTCATGTATTGAGAGAGGAGAATATTGGGGTATATCACGCAGAGCAGGGAACAAAGCTGCGGGAATGTGATTCAGCTGAAGTTTTGCGTCTTAATTATATACTTGGTGGAAAAAAAAATCCTATTTTCTTCATATCCCCCTGTCATATCAACTAGCTCATTCTAATCTTCCTAGTACCTCCCAAATTCACAAAGGCATATGTCATTAGAGCAAGTTGGAAAGATCTAAAACCTTTGAAACTGGAATTTGCTGATTCATTGAAAATAAAATGTTTGAGAGACTTTATTTTCCAGAAAAAGTTGAGAACTAGGGGAAATAAATATCAATAATTTTATTTTGCTATAGAAATTCTTCAGTTTCCAGTTTAATATGATACTGAAAAATTAATTTTGATGTAGTGAGTCAGTCAGTCATTTCACACTCTGCCTTCTGTATTCTTACACTGGATGAATGCCCACTGCTTCAAACTGGGTCAGTTTACCCTTGTGAAATTGCTGTTTAACCTGCTGCAATATGAGTGACTTATTGAAACTGCAGATTGAGGCTTTTTATTCTTTGACGAAAGAAATAAAATGGAGCTGTCAGGACAGAATTCTCGCGCTGTAGTGGTTACTCTGTGTTTCATATTTGTAGCTGGGCTGCTTGTGCCACTTCTGTGTAAAACTGTAATTATTCAGTCATTTATCCAGCTCCTCTTTCCTATTTCTGGTAAAAAGAAAAGTGGTTCTTGAAGGAGGCAGTTGCTTAAAAGGGAGAAAAATTCTAATAAAAGCAGCATCAAATTCACAGTCATTCTGATTCTGAGTATTAGAACTAGCAAACTGTAGTAGGACAGGGAAGTTCAGAAACAGCCTTTTTCCATAGCTCAGCTTTGGATAATGAAATTGAGACCACTTCAAAATTGGTTGGTGGTGAAATGGTTATAGCAAGAGCTTTGTAACAGTAAGCCATGACAGGTGGAAACCCTAAACCACACCAGTCAGATCTCACTTTACCCAAGCTGGACTCTTCTGGAGAGTAATGTTTCCTGTATTACTGATTATTTGGAATAGGTTTGTAGAAACCAGAGGGGGTGAGCATTGGTCTGGATTAGATACTAATGCTGGCCTGTGGGAGCTGGTTTTGTTGACTTGTGATCAGGAAAGAATTTAAATTGTCAAGGAGCAGTGCTGGTTTTTGTTAGGCCTCTTTTTTTCCCTTTCTCTGTGCCGTGGCCAGGCTCCCAGGATCACTAAGGCATTTTACCTAAATAATTTGCCTTCTGTTACAAAGGTTTAGGGTTGTGATGATATTTTTGCTTTTCCTGGTTTATTCCTGTGGCTCACTATGACATCTGGAGCATTTGGTATGGTTTTGTGGTGTTAAATATCTTGGAACTGGCTTTTTGGCTCATAATTCCATGAACATAGGATAACAGAGTCATGGGATAGTTTCTGTTGGAAGGAACTGTAAAGATCATCTAGTTCCTAACCCCTTGCCATGATGTGACATCCCACCCTCAAGGGGGAGGGAACACCCAAGATTCATGGATGCTCATGGTTGAAAAGGAATGACGACAATCAGAGAGTCCACAGCTTATCTTCTAGACTTCTATATGTGGGAAGGGATGCCTTCTGCTAGATCAGGTTGCTCAAAGCCCTGCCCAGCCTGACCTTGATCAAAGGAATTGCACATCCACAGCTTTTCTGGGCAACCTGCTCTACTACCTCACCACCTACAATATTGCAGGCAAATACAGACCCAAGGCATTGCAATAACAACAAGGTGGGTTGGACACCCCTTGTAGTTACTCTTCTATTGTTCTCCTACAAGTATAAGAAAATAGTATGTTCTCAATCCCCACATTATGTTTCTGGTAAAATTAATTATTTACCCCACTCCTGAATAATTCACTATTGTTTTGTGCAGTAACTATACAGAAGGTTTGGAAGCACCAGCCCAGAGCATTTTGTTTCTCAAAATCTTCAAAGACTAGAATATGTAGAGAAGATATATATATATATATATATATATATATATATGTATGTATAGGCAGTGGGTATAATTCTGGAGTGTGGCCAATGAAACCACTGCAGTTCTGCACTTGAGGAATGACACTGCTGATGTAAATGCTGAAAAAAATGTACATTATTGCAACTATAGCATAATGTAGTAGTAACTCGGATACAGCTAAATACCTGTTCTAAGTGAAAAAGTTGTCTTTTGTTTTGTTGACTGTGAAATGGATGGTTTAACTGAAGAGTAGTCTGGCAGATATGGAAGTAATTTTTTTATCACCTTGCATCATCCAGATTGAGAACACAGGAGATTATGCAAGGAAAACCAGTCTGCCTTACTGAAGCTGGATATGGCCTATACAGAACAATCTGTTTTGGTGTCAGTTGGCCACCAGCTCTTGAGCTGGGTTTCATGGATCTCATAGGAGAGGTGGATGGAGATCAAAGCCTGCAGAGTCCCTGCACTCATCTTTGTGTATCCTGTACAGCATGGAAATAATTTGTGGGTACAGCTAGGACAGTCTTCAACCTGCAGAGATTTATCAGTAGCAAATGGTACTTACCCAATGGCTGAAAAAACAATGTTAAAGTACTCTTGAGTTCACGTCCACCCCCAGCTACAGCTGTCAGCAGCAGGGCATTTTGCTACTTTGAGTGAGGCTGTAGTATGGAAAATTACTGCTGTACCACAGTTTAGAAGCATCATCATTGTGCTGGTCTTCCAGGCAGCGTTTGCATCAGCCCTGAGACACAGTTTGGCATCTGCTTGGCCTTGCAATAGCTGGCTTTCCAGTAACCATTATAAAATGTTGTTTAGCGTAAAGATACTTCTTTTAAAGTGGTTTGGCAGCATTCCTAGTGATCCCAGAGGGAGAGCAGCTAGGACTTGTTCTCCAGCTCTGAGGCAGCTGTCCACTGGGCTGACCAGGGTGGAGCTGTATGTGTTTTGGCTCTGCACTACAACTAGCGAGTAAAGACATGGATTGAGTTGTCCTTGGCTGCCTGCAATCCTTTGGCGTAGGGCTACGTCATGTGAAGTGGTGGGCCAGCAGCTCCAGGGTTGTGCAGTGGCTCTGTGTGAGGGCTTGTGATGGCTGGGTGGAGAGGGAGGACTGCAATGCAATAGAGCCATCTCCCTTGAAGACTGTGGAAGTAAATGTAGGGAGCAGCAGTCACACTTGCGCTAATTTTAGCTCATTTCAGCTTGCCATCCTAGGTTCCTTTTCCAGGTAATGGTGAGTAGTGAGCATATATCTCTTGTTCTATAACCAAAAAATACAGTAATTGTCCCATTTCTGTCTATGGGGTATAGGTAGACCTGTGGTGCCAAACTCAAGCCTAGATTTTTGTAGACAGACTTTTACCCTTAGTCTAATTAGAGTGTGGAGAGGTTCAGTAGATGACAGAGAAGGGGAGTACTGAGGGGCTAGTTTAAAAATTGGCTTGAGATGCTTTCTGTTCCTGTGACTTCTCAGAGGGTGAGCTTTGACATATGGTCTGGATCAAATACAAATTTTGCCTGAGTCTCCCCTGTTTCAGGAGTGTGGTATCTCCTTCATGTCTGTGGGGAAGATCTGTATCACATACT